ACATTATATGCTGCTCCCTTACATATCCTAAAACACTCGTGGGTTCGTGATGCTTCCGCTGGGTTGTCAGGCACAGTAGCATTATTTGACGTTGGTGTTATCAGTGGAGTTTGGGGAAGAACAAGAGTGGGATGGAGGAGGACAGGGATAGGAAGTAAGTCCGGAGCATGTCTTGGGAATTGAAGACCTTGAGGCCAAATGAATTAACTTCTATTGAATTGAAATGAATTGACTTCTATTAATTGTGTCTTCTTCTTTGAAAGTGGAGAGAGGTGAATAAAGAATCTGTAGTCTGGAGCTGGGTTAATTTTAGATGAAAATGTACCTGCATTTCTACGTAGGGTTTTATTTACATTCATCATCTTGAATTATAATTTAATCTACAGTAGACAGGCAGCTAGGTGGTACAGTGAACCTGGACCTGGAGTCAGGAAGAGCTGAGTTCAAATCCAGCCTCAGATGCTTACTAGCAGTATGATCCTGGGCAAGACATTTAATAGCTATCTGCCTCAGTTTCATTATCTGTAAAATGGATAGCATCCTCCGCAGGATTATCATTAGTAATATAGCTTACCCACAATGCACCCTAGAGCGGAGGTGTCAACCTTGCTGCTCCCAGTAACACTCCCTAGTGCTACCTGAATCAGGTTAAAATGTAATTGGGAAATGTTTAACAAAATAAATAAAAAATACAGTGTAACAAATGATGTCAATACATTTCTATTTGAGTTTGACACCACTCTCCTAGAGGAGAGAACAAGGCACAACTGATGAAAATAGCAAAGAGGCAAATTTAGAAAATTTAGACTTGTTATAAGGAAAAATTTAACAAGTGGGCTAGGCTCTCTGCCTCTGGAAGTAGTGGGTAGTTCCCCTTCATTGAAAGTTTTCAAGCAAAGTTGGATGATCTTTTGTCAGGTATGTTGTGGTAGGGGTTCCTTTCAGTATAGTCTGGGCTAGACAGCCACCAAAGTCCCAGTTCTGAATTTTTATGATTTATACAGCTGCCATGACAGACACATATGGCTTGTCTGAGGCCCAGCCTTGCCAATATAGAAAGAGACTCATTATCTAGGTTGGCCACGAGATGATAAATGTTGCAGCCACAGCAAAGGTCATTTACTAAGCTGTAGAAGACTTGTGATGAAATCACAAACACTGGAAGTAATGGAGTGTTGTCATGTAATGAGACAGGAAACAAAAAGGAAATGATTGGTGAGGGGTTGGAAATGGGGGGAGAGAATCTTATTGTCCAGAAAACAGGTGGCTCATCTATCACCACCACAAAAACCTAGTAGTTCATTTGGAGGTATTAGGTCAAAGTGGTTGGAAGGGAGAAGGAAGCATTGATCTTTCCTAAATTAGCAGCAGTCTGTTGTTACATTCTTAATTTGGCTTCAAGCCTGGCAACTACCACTGTTAGCGTCCTTGATCAATACTTTTCTGGAGAGAGAAGATAAATTTAGAAAACTTTTTTTCTCTTCATAGGAGATTTAATCTATATTTCTAACTCTGGGCTTGTAGGTGAGCTAGAGCCATTCTGCATAGTGCTACTAAGTATCTGACAATAATAATTGAAAGAATTATCTGATTTCCTTAATAAACTTCAGAGGATTGGAAAATGAGTGGATCATCTTTCCCTGATCCACATAAACTAGTAATACTATTATTCTAATTGCTATTAGAGAATTTCCCAGAAGAATTAACAGTGATCTCAATTGTCAAATCTACTGTCCTTTCTCAATTTCCCTCCTCCTTGACCAGCCACCTTTGACATTGATCACCCTCTTTTCTCTAGGTTCTTGTGACACTCCTGGTTCTGCTCCTTTACCTGTCTGACCTCTTTGGGCTTCTTTGCTGGATCTTCTTCCATGTCATGCCTATTAACCAGGGGTGTCTCCCAAACCTTTGTCCTTAGCCCCCTTCTCTTCTCCTTCTATACTATTTCACTGATGATCCTCTCAGCTTCTACAAATTCAACCGTCATCTCTGACCACATGATTTTCAAATCTGTTTGCCCAGGCCTGGCCTCTCTCCTGACTTCCAGTGCATGCCTTTCCAACCATTTATTGGATGTAGTGAATTGGGTGTCTTGTCTCAAACTTAATATGTCCAAAACCAAAAAACAACTTTGTTATCTTTCCCTGCAAACCCTCTCTCCTAACTAACTTCCCTGTTACTGCCAAGGATGCCATCCTCCCAGGCACGTAGGCTCAAAACCTAGGTGTCATCCTTGACTCCTCCCTCTCACCTCCCTATAGCCAGTCAATTGTCATCTCCCTTTTTTTTCTGCCTTGGTAACATCTCATTTATACACCCCCTCTTCCTTTCTCTGATACTGCCACCACCTTGGTGCAGGCCTTCATCACCTCATCCCTGTTCTGTTGCAGTACCCTTCCCTACTCCAGTCCATCCTCAACACAAAACCATCTTCCTTTTAAAGTTCAAGTCTATCCATGACATCCCCCTATTCCATAAACTCCAGTGGCTTCCTGTCTCCTCTAGGAACAAATATAAAATCTTCTCTTTGGCTTGTACAGCCCTCTATGACCTGCCTCCAGTCTTCTTAGACCTTACACCCCCATCCACACATAACCTTGCAGCCTAGTGACACTGGTCTCTTTGCTGTGTATTGGTCAAGAAACTGTCTCCTGACCCAAAGCATTTTCACTGGCTTACTGTCCCTGTCCCTGGAAAGCTCTCCCTTCTCATGTGTGCCTCTTGGCATTCCTCAAATCCCAGCTGAAATCCCATATTCTGCACAAAGACTTGCCCAGTCCTCCTTAATCTTAGTCTTTTTCCTCTGAGGTGAAGCCCAATTTATCTTGTACCATTTTGTTTGTATATGGTTGCTTACATGTTGTCTCCTTGTGTTGTCATACTGTGAGCTCATTGAGAGTAAGGACTGTCTTGTTTTTTGTTGTATCTCCAGCACAACATTCCATGTTTCACTGAGTAGGAGATTAGTAAATACTAGCTGACTGACCAAAGAAGAAATTGCTTGGAATTGAGAAAAGCTCTCCCTTAACGATTTAAGACAGCAAATGCTTATTAAGCACATACTATGTGCCAAATAGTGTGCTAAGCTCTGGGGATATAAATATAAGCCAAAAAAAGACTCCTTACCTTCAAGGAACTTACATTCTAAGTGGAGAAAACAATATGAAAGGGAGCTGGAGTTGGAGGAAAAGAGAGATGGTATCGACATGGGGAATGTCCACATAGACTTAGTGTCTGCAAAGTCAGAAGCAAAGCCAGGAGGGGAATGAAAGCCAACCATCCTGGGTCCCTTCTTAAAAAATAGAAGTACCAGGAAGCTCTTAACTGTGGGAAAGGGGGCAGGCAGGGTGAGAGCAAGTTCCTGAGAAATCCTAAGCAGAGCTGGGAGGGGAATGATGAACTGCCATGAAGTGGTTTTAATGTTTTTTATTTTTTACACCAAAGGGTTACTTTTGCATATGCCTGAATCATAAAAGTGTGTGAGTTCTTTGTGTAAAGTTACCCATCTACAAGTAGATTACAACTTTGGCGATTTTAAGAATTATACCTATTTGAATGGTTTTTGTTTTTCTGCTTCTTTTAGCTGTGAAACATGTGGTACAGAAGAAGCAAAGTACAGGTGTCCACGCTGTATGAAATGTTCCTGCAGGTATGAAATAGATTTAATCCTCTTCCTGCTGCGTGGGCCCTTGATGTTTCCAAATGAAAATGCAAAGTTTTTGTATGTTGCCTTTTCAGTTTAGCCTGTGTGAAGAAACACAAAACAGAGCTTACGTGCAATGGCATTCGAGAGAAGACAGCATTTGTTTCATTAAAGCAGTTTACTGAAATTAATCTTCTAAGTGGTAAGGCAGAATATCTCATCTTATTTGTAACTAATTGATGCATCTTTTCCTTTGGCCTGTGTCACCTGATTTTTGTACTTTGAAAATTTTAGATTATAGGTTTTTGGAAGATGTGGGAAGATCAGCTGACTACATTGCTAGAGATATTTTTTTGAAAAGACCCTCAACAAATAGAATTGTAAGTTTCATTTATCTTAATAAGCTTATTATTTTAAACTAGCTTAAGGGAGGGGCAGCTTGGTAGCACATGGTTGGAGTGCTGGGACTGGAGTCAGGAAGACTCCTTTTAGTTCAGATCTGGCTTGAGACACTTACTAGATGTGACTCTGGGCAAGTCACTTGACCTTGTTTGCCTCTGTTTTCTCGTGTGTAAAATAAACTGGCGAAGGAAATGGCAACCCACTCCAGTATATTTGCCAAGAAAACCCCAAATGGGGTCACAGAGAGTCAAACATGACTGAAAAACAACTTAAGGGAAGGTAACCACAGCAATTGAGTGTTAAATAGATTTCATTTTCATAGGAGCTTAGAATTTAGAGCAAAAAGAGACCTTTACAATGAGTCAGTAAATTCCCTTATTTTACAAATAAGGAAACTGATTTATAAAAGTTGACTTTTCCAAGGTCACATAGGTGATAAGTAGCTGAACCAGGATTTGAACCTGGGTCCTCTGTTCGAAAATCTAGTGCTGTTTCCACTACTGTATGCTCCAGATTTGTGAAGTTTTTTCCTAAAATAACTATAAAATTGAAGCTCATCATTGTGACATACAACTGTCTGTGAACATAAAATATGTTCAGAAATTATCAACACAAATATTATTTATTTTTCTATTGAGTAGCATATGATATTTTAGCATATGATATTTTTTAAAAAATTTGTTCTCCCACAAATTTTATTGTTACTGTTTTTCTTGTACCATCTAGTTCATTAGAGAGCTATAAGAGGGCATAGTGCCTGAAAGAAAGATTACTATGGAATATTAAATTTTAATTTTTTTTAGGACTTTGTACCATTAAGTTTAAAAATGAGATTACTCTTAGAGTGGCTAGACTCTATCACTTCAGGCTGACACATTTCATTCTTAGAGAATTGGGTAGAGTGGAGGTGTCAGACCCAAGCCTAAATCAAATTAAGGTGTGATTGGGAAAATTTAACAGTAAATAAAAATACGGTAGAACAAGGATGATGTTAATATATGATGTGCAGCCCTTGGGGATCTTTATATACAGTTTGGTGATCTTCTATTTTAATTTGGCACTAATGGGCTGGAGTATTAAGAAGGTAAGATTAACAATAAAAGGCCTAAAGTTATACATAACTTCTTAAATTAAAAATTAAACTTTAGGTACTGGAAAAATTTTCAGTGAATCATTTGAATTTCTTGTCCTTAGCCCTGAAGTTTCTACAGAGTAGTTTGACAGCAGCTTCAATATAGCATATTTAAGGTTTACAGAGCCCTTTACTGCCTATCTACCCAATGGGATTTTCATTTTTAATTATACCTTAGTATTCACAGTCATTATTACCTTTCAATAGTTGTTTCTGAATCCAAGTGGGTCTTTGACTTTTTACAGAAAAGAATGATACTACCAGTTATGCAAAGTTTATTGGACATTGATGACACATGCTTACTCTATTAAACTACTAATGAGATGAACATGACAAAGTTTACTTTGGAGTTACCTCAGGCCATGGATAATTCAGAATCATAATAACTCATTTTATTGGTGGAAGGCATTTATTATTACTAAGTGCTTTTGTTACATGTATAATTAAACAAAGCGTACTACTTCCAGGTACCCCTATAGTACCTGTTTCATACTAAAATTCTGCTGTCCAATAAATAGTATTAAATATGGAATTTTACGTTTAATAATGTTAAAATAAGAAACTCCACTGGTTTTGGAGGTAGAAGACTTAGGTTTTAGTTTTGGTTTTGACAGTAGGTGTGTGATTTTGATTAAGTCATTTAATTTCTCTGAGACTCAATTACCTCATTTATAAAATTGGAATAATACTACTTTTCTCACTTTTTATAGGAAAAAATGCTTTTCAAAACTTTCAGAATGTGAATCATTATTATTAAAAATAACAAAACAGTTTTATTATACCTTGAGAGCATAGAGTTTATGAATTATTGAATAAAATTCTTAATTCTAACGAAATAACTTCATTGTCCTTATCAGAATTATTCTGAGAGTTAAGAGTAGCAAAACTGGCCAGTTTCAATTTTATTCCTTGACCTTTGCTTATTAGTGGAAGTACTAATAAGAAGTGGCCAAAAGGAAAGTGCAAGCAAAAAGAGACCAGAATGTTATGGATTCTATACTGATTCTTAAATAATTGAGAGTTCATTTTAGCACCCTCAATAATTTTTTCAAAGTTTTAGCTCAGGTTTGAAGTTGCTTAAGCTCTTTGATTTTAATTTTTGTTTTTTGTTCAATTAGTTAAATTACATGAAAAACCGAGCACGGAGACACAATATTGACTTAAGAATTTTACCAATTGGCTTCACCAAAAGAAGAGAGAATTCAACAGTGTTTGATAGGAAGTAAGTATCTAGTTGCTATAGAAATGTCTTAAATGAGTGTATTTATTTAATAAATTACTTTTGAGGTATGGTCTATTCTTTGTCACACTAATGAAGTAGACTATGAAGATGAATTGTTCTTGGGCAGGAGGACCAGTGTTAAGTGCTTTAGAAGTCATATGGTCTTCAATCAGAAGGGGCATTATAGGTGATGAGTCAAATCTCCTTATTTTATAGATGAGGGCCTTTGGAGGGACAGTAGAGTCTATTGAGGATTTTTTAAGGATCAGAGAAACTTGACTATATTTTTAGGCAGCAGAGAAAGAATTAAAAAGATAGGGAGAGATTAAAGTTTAGAGAATGAGAGGTGGTAGGAAGGAAATCTGCTGAAGAAGACAAGGGATCAAAGATACACGTACAGTGATTATCCTTGGCAAGAAGGACCACCTCTTCATGAGAGACCAGAGTAAAGGAAGAGGACATTGTGAGAAGAAGACTCTTCAGATGGCTTGGTTTTTTTTTCTTTTCTTTTTTGAGTTGCTATGTGAAGTCATCACCTGAGAAGGTGGGTGAGAAGGTGGTGTGTGAGGCTTGAGAGAGTACAAGGTTTGGAATAGCTGTGTTGAGTGGGGTAAGGGATCAGTTAAGAAGGGGAGTGTAGGAGCATTGCGTTGCTGTAGTGAGGGCCCGGTTGAGATTAGACAACCTAAATTTGTAGTGGACCCGGTAGTTTCAGCTCTGTTCAGCTGCATGTGGATAGGAACAGAGAAGCTGGTGGGAATATTTCAGTATTGGACTTCAGCAAGGCACAGGAGGCAATAAGATAAAGATACAAGGAATTTGTGTGCAAAACATAATGTAAAATTGAATTAATTCATCAAGATTTTGAGATTAGGAAGAGTGGCGAGTGTAGCTGTAGCAAAGATGTTGACCTGGGAAAGTTCATAAGAGGTTGAAAGACTGGGGGTCACAGTGAGAAAGAAGGCTTAAGTAAGTAAATTTAGGAGTAGCAAAGAGATAGCACGATAAGAGAGCATGACCAGATAATAGGACTTCAGAGTTCTCAAACATGGAAGTTGAACATAGGTTATGACAGAGTCAAAGGAAAGACCGTCGCTGTATTGTGTTATATAATGCTGAGGCACTGTTGAGCATGTCGACGGAGTTGAGTACTTTTTGAACTGGAATTTTAGGATATGTAAGGGAGCAGCATATAATGTTGAAATTTCTTACTATGAGCATAGGTGTTGAGGACAATTTTCATTGCTCTTTGGAACTTGTCTTTCAAGCAGTTCCAAATCCATCTACCTATATCATCCAGCCCACATCTCTCCTCCTTGTCTAGAAGGCTAGCTTGAGATATCAGATGTTTTTCCTGAAATTTGTATATGTTACGTGTACACCATTCCCTAAATCTTTCCTGTCAAATTAAACTATCAGAAACAGAAATGAGGTTGGTCTTAGCATGGCCTGTTCTTGATAAATACATGTTGACTTTCTTTGCTTATAGCTCCTCTTTCTGAGTTCTCAGAAACTGTCCCTCTAAGACTGTATTTTAGAATTTTGCCTGGCATACAAGGCAGGGTTATCAACGTGTGATTTGTAGGCCACACATAATTCACTTTTTTTAAAACGGGGACAATTACTTTTTGCTTCAGAATGTCTTCTATTTTCCATGATCTTTTTTAAAAAATGACCAATTCTCAGTACCCTGAGTTTTAGATCATTGAGGGCTTGTGACTTGAACTCATTGAGGGGAGTGAGGTGATCTCTCGCCAGCTCTTCACTTATCTTTTATTTCAAGTCACACAGTCACAGACTGGCATAATTTGAAGAGAATTCAGCCACCATTTAGTTGAACCCACCAAGGAAAGGGATTCCTTGTTATAATATATCTAAGAAGTAGTCACCCAGCCTTCTGCTTGAAGATACCCAACAAGTCCCTGTTAACTAACTGTTCTATCCCTGTCTCTTCCCTGTCTAACTATCACTGTCCATGGAAGAGAAAACCAAAGCCAGATGAGATTGGGTAGTTCCGCCTTGTTGTTCATTTTCATCCTTCTTGATTCCTTAGCCCAACTCGTCTCAGAAGCTCTTTTGTCCTTAGCTCATTCTAGGCTCTATCTCTTGATGGTATCATTATAGGATCATACTACTCTTTATATCGATTATTTGTTTCCTGTTAAGTAACAGCATCACTTTAGGAAGTTGTTCCTCCTCTTCTCTTCGTCAAAATAACTTCTGTTGATATCTTCAGAATTCCTTCTCTAGTCCTTTCCATTTCTCTCCAAGGCCAGTTTTCCCTGAAGAAAAGCAGAGCAGAGGAGGCTATCTGTCCATTCTCTGAATCACCTTTTTTTTCCAGTAGGAGAGAGAAAATTATTTCTGTCAGTATTTTAAAAGCAGAATTGGGTTGCTACAGATGGGGAATGTTGCATCCAATTTCAGATGTGGTCACTCCATCATTAGTTTTACTTAACTGTTTTACGTTGTTACAAAAGATGTTTCCTTAAGTGGGAGTAAACTGTAAATGTTTGTAATGTAAAAGCAAAACACATCAATAAAAATTTTTAAATAAGTGATCACTCCCTGAATTTTCCTAGAGTACTTTGTGAGACCCTCTCCCACATTCTAACTTGTATCATATTTTTGTGTATTCATGTCTCATCTCCCTTTACATTGTAAAATTGACTACAGGACATGTCTTTTTCATCTTTGTATGGCCAGTACCCTAGCACAGTGCTTTGTATGTAATAGCTTACTTAAAATATACTTGTTAAAGCTTCTCTTTTGCTGCCAGTTTTCTTGAGTGAATGTCTCTATTTTTATAGTGTTTGCTCTCTTGTCAACCTTCCGTAATCATTTTTCCATCCCTGTGGTTCTTTGAGGTCACTGATTGTCTCCTCTAACTGCTTTTTTAGTGTCTTAAGAGTTGGAAGGGATTTCAGAGGCCATCTAGCCTAATTCATACTTGAGAATAATATCACTTCTATACCCCAACAAATGGTTCTCCGCACTGCTTAAAGGCCTCGAGTAAAAGGGAGGAGGGGATCTGCTACTCCCTTTCACTATAGGTCTTATGGTAAAAGCTTAGCTTAGTTGGGTATTGTGGCCAGCTGGGAAACTGGGCTGAATCTAATAGCATTATATTTAATAGGGATAAATATAAGCATGTTGAGGTTCAAAAAATCAGTTTCACAAGCATAAGACTTTTATGTTTACCTCTTCAATTTGATCTTTTTAGATTCAACCTATGTTATATCCTGTTAAGATCATTTTGAAGATACCCAGCAAGTCGGCAGCTTTCACCTAAATACCTATTCGAGGCAAATGAAATCTCTACCTCCCAAAGTATCTCAGCTGTAATTGTTAGGAAGCTTTTCCTTATATCACATCTGAATCTTTAGCTTTCTTCAGGTTTCCCTCATTGCTCTTAATTCTATCTTGGGTCAAGCAGAACAACACTTCCCATCAGTTCAGTCATTCATTCAGACATTTATTAGTTATTGAAAGCCTACTATACCAGGCCTTGTGCTATGCACTGGGAGTAAACAAAAGTGAAAGTCCTTCTAATGGTGGAGACAATGTGTCTGTATTAAATACACACACAAGGTCATTTGGGGAGAAAGATGCTAGCAGCCAGGAGATGAGAAAAGGCTTCCTATAGAAGGGGTGGTGTTTGAGCCAAGTATCATATGTGAGCAGACCAGTGATTGGTCTGTGGAGTGCGTGAGGGGGAATGATTTGTAACAAGACTGGAAAGGCAGGGTAGGTCGGAGCCAGGTTGTAAAGGGCTTTAAGCACCAAATGAGTTTATATTTGATTCTGGAGGTAATAGGAGCCACTGGAATGTTACTGAGGCAGGGAGTGACTTTCTCAGCCCTTTGCTTTGGCAGCTCTGTGAAAGGTGGATTGGAGAAAGAAGAGAATTGAGGCAGAATCCAATTAAGGTGCTGTTGCAGTGATCCAGATGAAGGGCAATGAGGCCCTTACCCAAGGTGGTGATTGTGTGAGTAGAGAAAAGGAGGAAAGAGAATGAGTTCTGCTCTGAATGTGAGTCTGAGATGACTGTAAAATATTCCATTTGGAATGTCCAGTAGGCATTTGGTGATGCCAGACTGGAGCCTAGGAGAGGCTTGGGCTGGATCTATAAATCTGGGAGTCATCTCCATAAAGATGATTATGAAACCCATGGAAGCTGACAAGGTCCCCAGTGAGAGAGCATAGAGAAGAGTGCCCAGGGTAGAGTCCTGGGGCGCTGCTCCCATTTTCAGTCAGTGTGAGTAATGGGTGATGATCCAGTAAAGATCCACAGATTGACCCTAAATCACCTCATGACAATTAGTAGGGTGGGCCTGCTTACTTTTCTCCTGACTCAGCATCCCCATTTCCTTAGAGGCTTTTCACCATCCTGATCACACCACTTGGGTTGCTTTTCATCTTGTCAGTGTCCTCCCTGAAACATAGCATCCAAAGCTGAACCTACTACCCTAGATCTAGTCTTATTAGAGCAGATTAAAGCAGAACTTATCACCTCCCTTAGTGGAGACAGTCTCTCCCTCTGCAACCCAAGAGCACGTTACATTTTTTGTTTTTAAATTTTTTTTTTCAATCAACAAAAATCTACCCCACCCCAGCCATTGAGAATAAAGGAAAAACAAACTCTTGTTATAAATAGTATAGTCAAGCAAAATGGATTTCTACATTGGCCATGTCCAAAAAATATATTTGTCTCATTCTATTTTCTTGAGTCCTTTCACCTCACCCTCAGAAGGTGGGGTGTTTAATCATTAGTCCTCTAGAACCGTAGGTGGTCATTGCACTAATCAGAGTTCCTAATTCTTTCAGAGTTGTCTGTATTTACCATATGGTTGTCTTTGTATAAATCGTTTTCCTGGTTCTGTTCACTCTACTCTTCATCAGATTACAAAAGACCTGTGAAACCTTCCCAGGTTCCTCTGAAACAAGTCACTTCATCAGTTTTTACAGCACATTAGTGTCCTACCATGTTTATATACCAT